AGAGAAAGAAGGAACTTCCCTGAAGGAGATAGAGCAAGGGAATGATAGAGAGGGATTTGAACCCGGGTCTTCTGACTCTAAATACAAGGATCTTTCTACTATACAAGCAGCCTCCCAGTTTTACACATCCAGATGCCCAACACACAAAAAACAGCCTGAGTCCAGCTCCCCTTCAGGAGAAATCAGTACCCAGTATGTGGCAGTTGCTGCGAATCATCAGAATGCATAGGACAATTGAGTCAGATCTTCAAAATAATCAAAATCCAAGTCGTACAGGGTTTCACTGATAACACTTTCAATTGCACTCCAAAGGGGGTTAGAAGACATCATACGTGCTCACATGATTTACACCAATTTACACCTGGAGGCAGCCAATCTGCTAGGACCCGTACCAGCCGAAGTCTCCAAATGAAACTTCAGGGGAGCCTCGTGTAGTACATTCTACTTGAAGTTTTTCTTCAGGAAGGACTAAGGTTCAGTACCATCAGTGTACTAATTATTCAAGCCTAACCATTGTACTTTTTATTTTTTGGTGAGGCAACTGCGGTTAAGTTGAGTTGCCCAGAGTCACACAACTAGTTAAGTGTTAGGTGTCTGAGGATTTGAACTCAGGTCCTCCTGACTCCAGGGCCAGTACTCCATCCACTGCACCACCTAGATGCCCCACTATTGTACATTCTTAACTAACTCTCAGATCTCTCTAGGAAGACAGCCACTCCCTCCAAATAGTCTTTCAGGGCCTCTGATCCAAATGGGCTTAAAAAAAAATTTAATCCATACTATCAAAGTTGCCACCAACCTAACAAAATGGTAATCTGTACACATACACACACCCCACCCTCAGGGAGCACTCCAAATAGAATACTGATATAGGAGTGTCCTGGTAACTTTTGCCTAGGCTCTATTTCTGCTGTCATTATTCTAAGCTTTAAGGGGGGGGGGAGATCTTCTCCCCTGCTTTTCCTCACTTTCTAGTCTTCCCTAATGGCATTTGTCCACTCCATAGCACTCACACTTCAGTTTAAGTACATGCTCTCATCTCTGCTATACGGTAATGCTGCTGGGGGCTGGGGGATGACATATGACATTCAGCCAGGGTCCTTCGGGCTCTGGCTCTAGGAATCCTTACCTAGCTCTTGCTTCATCCCTTAGCTTCAGCCTCCACCTTAGCCCACTCCTCCCTGGTCCTGTTCCTCTTTGAGCTGCCCCCACCCCACCCCCAGCATCTATGCTCTTAAGGTCATCCAACCCCCTGGCCTTTCCCCTCTGACTTAGTTCATTCTCTCCTCTTTTCTAAACACACAATTTCACCAGAACTCTCTACCTCTGGCATCTTTCCTCTTTATGCCACTTGATGTCTCTTATCAGTGTTACTACATTCTCCCTTTCAGGCTGGCACATACTCCAGGTCCCGCAGGTATACAAAATTGATGTTAAAGAAAGCCATAGTCTGGCCCCTGGAAGTCTCATCATTTTCCTTAGATCAGTTAAGATGTTCACATTAATAACTGACCATCTTCAGACACATTTTCTGGGGAGGGAGATATTTTTGCCCCAAGCAAAAAGCATCTGCAAAGATGTGTCAAAGTAGCTCAAAAAGCTCTTAGGAATAGATCATTTAGTTCCTGCTCTGAATTTGTTAAATAAGATACAGATTATGCCTAAATTACTCTATAAACTCTTTAGGCACACATTGCATATACATTCAGTACAAACTCATTTTGCAAATGCAAAAAAAAACAAAAACACACACACACACACACACACACACACACACACACACACACACACGTGTTACATCATTCCTGATGTGATGGGTAGGAAAATAACATAGGGGACATTATTTCATTCACACCATTTTGTTGGCCCTGAAAACCTCTTCTCTACACCGTATGATGGATGTATCTGTGCTCCTTGGGGAATGAGGTAGGAAAAGACTTTTTAACAAACACAAAGAATTGAGGTAAAATAAAGGATAAGGTAAAGAGCTAACATTAGCAAACACCATGCTGAAAATACTCATATTAGGAAAGGAACATATGAAGAAGGTAGGCACAATCTCTGCCTTATCCTTAGAGATAAAGATTTAAGAATTTTCACCACATAGAAAGAAGCTGAGAGACAATTAGTTATAAATCACAAAACAGGGCCATGCTCATTACGTGGTCACAACAGCACTAGGCACACCATGGCCCCTTAAACATATACAACAATATGACAAATGTATCCCTACCAAAAACTTGATTTTTTCATATTTATCACAAAGATGTTAGGAGCTGGAGAAATGTGGTATAAGCCTTAATCTTGCATAAAATAGTAAGGCTACAGTGGTTGAACAAATACACATCTAAGTATTCAGGCTACACGGCATGTAAAGAAAATGAAAAAATATGGTTTTCCATTTAACTATTTAAAAAAACTTATTTCTTCCTCTTCATTTGATTTGTGAAAACCAGAAACACTGAAATGATGAGAGAGGAGCTGTTAATTCTTAGAGTTGTTCTACACCCCCCCCCACCTCCCCACTCCAGCAAAGTTAATACCAAATAACCCCTTGCCTTAATTTCAAGTAGTATGCATTTCTTTGCCATGAGGCCCCCACAGTCAGCTGGTCCCTGTTTCTGTTCCCATTTCCAAGAATATAGATGTCTGATCAATGAAATCTTGTCACAAAGATTGCAAGAGTCCCCTGCAGAGCAGGATAGAAAACCCACAGGAAGATGATTCTAAGATTTACAATCACTTGGTCCCAGCTGTAAATGTCTAAGCAACAGTATGAATTTGTAATCAACTAGACCTTGTGGGAACCTCAAGACATGGCAATCCTTAAGCTACAGACCCAGCTGAGAAGTATGCCTAGCCCCCACCACAAAAAGAAAATGGCAAGTATTTAAAGATAGACTAAAGATAAACAAAATCTTAAAGATTTTCAGGTCCTATGCAGCAATATTTTATTTTTATGTGATTGTAATTAAGCTCCCCTTTGTCCCACTCTTCTGAGAGTAAGCCTCCTAAGAGGCTGAGACCAACAACTTTTTTGGCTCCAGATACCACACTTCTCACTGACATCATATATAGGTATGGTGCTCACTCTTTCCTGCCATTTCAAAGCCCCAAAACAAAACTAGTGGACACGGGAGCAGGGCCAGCCTCACCGCCCACAACCTCCCCAAGACTACTGCAATGCTTTGTTAGTGCCTACAAAAAGAGCCTGAGTCTCAGTGGCAGAAGCCATGGTGATTTAGGGAAGCCTTCCAGTCTTGACAAAAACGTGAGAAGTTGCTATGGCCAGCACCATAAGCACAGTGTAGACTGTACTGTTCAGCGAAGGACACAGCTCCTGGGAAGAGAGCCGTCCACACCTATTTGCTTGAGCCTGCTGGATGGGGCCAAATGAGCAGGGCAGCACATATTATTCCTTAGGGCTTTGTCTTGGCCAACTATTTTTTTAAAATGTTTTCACATAGTATTTGTGAAGTGTTTTTTCACTTTGCAAAATTATTTCCTAACTATAACCTCATTAACTAGAGCCTAGGCAAGATGACTTCTCTTCAGCCATGTAGCTGTAGGAAACACCCTCTTCCTCCTCCTCCTCTTTTTAAAATGAACACTATAAACAGAGTAGACAGTTTCAGAAACCTGTTTTCTCCATGATCTTTGGAAGCATCTCTCCCTAATGCCTGGAAAGTCATTCAGTACCAAAATTAGCACACAATTATCAAGGACAGACAAGATAGATGAGAAGGAAAAGAGAGCTGAGACAAAAATGGCCAGAGCAGTCCAAGAGAGGCAGGTACCCAAAGCAGGACAGGATTAATCACTGGAGTTAAGTTAACAAACTAGGGGAGCTTGGGACTTGTTTGCCAACCATAAGCACAGGATAGCTTAAGTGAAAAGTGAATAAGTGACTCACAAATTAGAAATGGCCTGGAAATACCATTTAAAGGGATTTGGGAATACATTTCCAAAATAAAGTGCCTTCAGAGGTTTTTTGAAAAGACCTGTTGTAAAACACAGGATTTTACGTAGTTTTGAAGGGGCATAACACAATTAATTCTGTGTAGAATAGAAAAACCCATAACAGATCTCAAAGCCCTTACCTGGCAGATCTCCAAATCAGTCAACCCCACCCCAACCCCAATGCCCCCCCATCCCACTCCACTCCTTTACACACACACACACACACACACACACACACACACACACACACACACACACACACACACCCCACCCATTTGCTAGCAGGGAGGAAAGTGTTATTGGCAGCAGCAATCTCTGCCCTGCTGGGCTTCTGGGAAATTAAAAGTAACACCTTGTCCTTAATTGGTTGGCAATTCCTGGCCAGGAAGAGAAAGATATATATTTTTTCATATCCAAACAAAGAAAAAAAGTTTAAAAATATTGGTGATAATATCCCCTAAGGGGCCAGAAAGGTTACTTTAAAAAAGAATTTTTACTACTGGTGGAATAGCCTAAAAATTGTATATAAATATTGGGGTGACAGTACTTAAAGAAACCATGTTAGAGAATTTCGGTTTTCCCTCTTGTGTCAAATATTTGCAAAAAAAAAAAAGTTTTAAAAAATGAAACACGTAGAATAAGATCATTAGGTACAGCAACCCAGGACAACTCACTATCTTTCCCTCCCATCCCCAGAGTTCCCCTATCTGATTGGTATGCAGGACCAACTCCCTCCCACGTAGCCAAACTTGGAGGGGGGGGTTGAGCTAACAGGAGGTCATAAAAGTGAGTGTAATAAAATTAGAAACACGCATACCAAAGGGAAGTACACAAGACTTTTGAATTATCTTTTATGTCACCCATGCCTGCATGGAAAATTCCCCTCCATCAGCATTAATAACTGAATATCTTTTCAATTGTTCCAAGGTTTACATTATTTTCAACATGATCTATTTTAAGTGGGTCATATCTTAATAGATATATACACATATTTTCTCTCACCCTCCCCGCATTCCACCCCCAACTTTTTTTTTTTTTACCATGAACTGAGATCTGCCAAATTCGTAATATCAGGAGAAAGCATAGTAGTAATGCCTTGAAAGAGTCTCTTTGGCTGACTTTCCGTTTCCATTTCACCTAAAACCAGGAAAAAAAATGAACTGTAAAATATATGTGTTTGTTGCTTAATTGGGGTGTCTGGTTTAGTTTGAGTTTTTAAACTAAAGCCTGCAATATTTTTCTGAGCATAGTAATTTTAGAGCTGGTTTCAGCATGTACTCAGATAGAAAAGAAAATCCTACTATCAAAAGCTGACAGCCCTGAAAATTTCCCATTGATTTTCTGTAATATGTTATAGATATGTTTGGAGTCCTTAAATGAAGAGCAGCCCACTGGTTTCCATCATGAAGATTGGGTCAAGACTAACCACAGCATTGAGAAATATCTACAAAAAGCTTGAAGCCTACAGTAAGTAACAATTTATGCCAGATTATATTGGCAAAGAACCCTCCTTGTGCCCACGTCACCACCTGAGTATTCAAATACTAGTAGAAGGCAGACAGGTCAAAAATGGCATAGTTGGTTCAATTTTATCTATATATTTTAAAAATTGCTTAGTGTAGTACTGAAAATTACCAAAAATAGAATTTCAAAAGCAGTCAAGCTTTATGGTGCAGATAATGGTTATTATTAAATGAAGGGTAATATATAAATATATCTCGTATATTACATTATTATATAATAATATATAATTATCCAGCTGCAACTAAGTCAAAATTTTCTCAAAACTGATCACAAAAAAGTTTCTACTATATACTAATATTATTTAACACTTTGCCCCAAAATACAAAAATTGAAAACAATTCAGTAATATATTGTCTTCTCCAAAATAAATTCACACACATGAAAAGCTTGAGACTCAAAAAAAAAAATCTCTTCACTGTGAATAAGTATCAACCATGGATCGATATATATATTTCAGCAAGAAATGTATAGTTCAAAGATTGAAATTTCTAAATGTTCCCAGAGTAAAAACAAACAGTCCAACAAACAAAAATTTTCACTTTTTTTAATAAATGTGAATTCATGTTTTTTTTGCAGCTACTCTAAATCATGCAAACTCATTAGAGTCTGTGTTTTTCTTGTCCTTAACTGACAATAGTTCATTTTAAAATCTACTCCTCTTCATTTTGCAAATGTTCCTAGTCTTTTTATTTTAGTGGACTGCCTAGCTTGTCTGAAGAGCTCCCCCTGCTGTCCTAATTCAGAGTAGCTCTGAAATGAAATATGAATATGGAGTCCAGATTAAACATATTCCACCCTGCAAAGCATAATTTTAATACTCAAATGAAAACTCTCTCTAACATCTTTAAAAAATAATCCTTCAGTATTCTAAAAAGGTCTCTGGGAGATATCAAATACTTATAACTTAAATAAGTCTCTGTGAATAACTTAGAAAATAGAAATCAATATGGGCTACTTTTCTATATTTCTACTTTCTAGGATCTGCTTCTGTAATTTATAAACTACCATCTCTCCGCCACATAAGTAATAAGTAATCAAGTGTGAATACAGATTGATGGGAAAATATCACAAAGATAATTGACAGAATTTAGATTTTATACTCATTCTTGTAAGAAAAATAAACATTTCTTTGAGAAGGAGATTCCATCTTGAAATACTTTGAGAGACAGGAAATCTAGTTTCTAGTTCAAAATAAACTAAGTTTTACAATATCACAAACATTGCTGCATACCTTTCCTTTTAATAGGACCAAGAACACTGGGCCTAATGCAGTTGATTGGGCTTTGACTCCTTCTGCTAAAATATAAAGTTAAAATATTGGCATTAGAAAGACTTGAAGTACTTCCAAGGTACAAGATAAATAGTCTGAAAGCCCACAAAAAGATTCCAATTCTGAAGCTCAGTGCAACCCCAATTTTGGTATCCTAGAATAACAGTCCTGTGCAATGCAAATACCACCTGCACTACTGGCAGGCCATTTTTCCTGAAAAGACAGTACATAATGGGGAAAAAAGGGAAAAAGCCAGGTTTGAAGTCTGATCTAAAGGCTGGCAGCAAGACAAGACAATCTAAAAGAGAAGTCATTACTCAGCTCCATCTTTCTTAAATTATTTAACTTAATTTTCTTAGGGTGGCTACCACAGTCTCTCAACTTTAAGGTTTTCCTCCAGGTTCCAGAATGGTGGTACAAATGTCTATTTCCACAATGAGGCTTTGAGACTGTCTAGGATTACTCTTATGAATATGATGTTTTTAAAGAGATCATGCCATTTTACAGGGTTTCGGATCCAAAGATCATGGAAACCATTCAATTAATCACATAAAAGTAAAAATACTACATAGGATAAAAGAAGAATTTTAAAAGAGATGAGATTACTCTTTTACCAACCCCCTCCCCCTCAAAAAAAATCAATCAATAGAACTTTTGAGCTAGAAAGGACCTTTGAAATAACTAGTCCAACCCTCTTTTTATACAGATGAGGAAACAGAGGAACAGAAAAATTCAGGTCACACAGCTAGTTTCCTAACAGCAAAGGGACTCCAAAATGGGCCTTCTGAACTCTGGCTCATTGTTTTTTCCTCTATACCAAGATTCTGTCTACTGGAGTGAAATGGATTTTACTAAACTTTCAAAACCTATAGCAGAATCCTATGTACCAATGTTGGGTAGGGGTTCCTAACCTGGGTTACCTGAACTTCTAAAAAATATATATATTTTGATAACTATTTCACTATAATTGGTTATACTCAGAATTTATTTTATACATTTAAAAATACAATTTTGAGGAGTCCATAGGCTTCACCAAACTGACTGCCCAAGGGGACCAAGAGCCAGAAAAGGTGACGATATCCCCCCAGGATAGGGGGAAAAGCTAATTCCTCTGTTCTGGCTTTCCAAAGGATTTATCATTTGTCCCATACACAGCACTGACCCATTCCATGGAATAGCAAGGATTTTGAGGGAATAAGAAAATTTAAACAAGAAAAGGGACAACTGATTTTTCTTTTAAAAATAATCTACTAAAAATTCCTTGTTATAAGCTAAATTATTTAATTAAAACTTCTAAAATTTAAAAAAAATGCCTTCATTCTCTATATATATCAACACTACCTAATAGTATCAAATTTAAAGGTTCCTTGTGAAGCTAAGTTAATGAATGAAATAACATATATAAAGCAAGTTCACTTACTTTGAAAATCGTCTGGTTGGGCTGGGGATGGGACTTGGAGGTAGCCCATTGCTACTCACAAACATTTGTAAGGATGGTGAAAAACATTGCTAAAGAAAAAAGTAAGGATTAATACAGTTCTAGAGTCCCACTGGAAAAAGCATTCTTTTTAAAACATCTGTAGCGAAGTACTCAGGATCATATAAGTGTTAACACAGTTTCTGAGTATATTTCAAATGAGTATTCATTTCCTCTCAAACCATCAGCTGAAATGAAAACAGAGGTTTTTTTTCCCTCTTTCCTCTTTTAAACAATTAATGGCTTGGGGTGTGTGAGAAAGGCATTTGCAGCAGCTTCCATTCTCTTCAATGATCCTACCTTTCCTATTCCTCTAGTGGGTGACGGTGCTGGAGAAACCGGGATGAAGTCAATTCTCTTAGGAGAAGATGATTTCTCTGACTTGTCGAAGTCATTATCACTCTGGAAACAAAAAATGTCATCCGCTTATAACAACACAGCATATCACTACTCTAGAAGTAAGTCACAAAGGATTCTATTTGCTCTCATAACTATCACACCTAGATTTTTTGAACACACAAACATACAGATCCACAAAAGGCCTCTTGTATTTATTTAAACCTGTTTGTTTGAAAAGGAGATAAGAACTGCTATAATTTTAGAAATGTAATATATACATATAAAAGTTGTACGGACAAATGCAGAGAGCCAAGGAATAATTTAAGTGTTTTTTTAAAAGACACCTTTCGAATCAGACTTGCAAAAGAATTACCAGGCTCAAGCTTTCTTCCCAGGAATGGCTTATCTGCATTGCTGTCTGCACTTCCCTGAAACACAAAAAGACCTGATCAGTACCAGGTACAGTACACATTGGGGTAAATCCCCATTCTCAGGAACCACTCACCTTTCATGGGCAGCTTCTCGGTTCATCAAGTCTACTCCTTCCTCCTAAAAAGACAATGTGGGGGGAAAAAAAAGACAATGAATACTCAGAGCTTGAAGACCATACATAAAATTCTCCCTAAGTGGGATTTTCCCCTACCTTGATTTTTAAGCATTTTAAAACAATTAATTTTAAAAGTTTTTTTTAAATTAAAAGTACATGTAGCAAAGCTAGTATTCCAAAATTGCCACTTACGCATTTTATCTACAAACACTGAGAGACACTTGAGTCTGATCTGGCTATATAACCCTGGCTATATAACTAAGATTATATAATTATATAACCAATACAATTATTCAAAAGAATTTCATAGATTCTGATGGAATTCTGGCTCCAAGTACAAGAGGATAAGCATCCTTATTCTAAACAGAGAAGGTATTAAATTGTTAAAAAGGGTGAGGTAAAAAAAATTAAATTAAAATTAAAAAATTTTTAAGAAAAGAGTGAGGTGACCTTTTAATGTCAAAAACTTCAAAATGAAAATAAAATCAAAACATCATTTACAAAAAGTTTAGATCTATGGAAGCAAAATTTACCCTCTTGATTTGATGAAGTCTGCTACTAGGAATACGAATAGGAGAAGATGACAGCAACTGGGAAAACAAACAAAAGAAAACATTCACTGTTTTCTGAATTACAACAGTCTGCTTTCGTTATCAATGTACAATGTATTCTTATATTCATGTGTATGTGTGTATATATATACCTATATACACACATATATATATGTATGTATGTATATATTATAAATCCAGACATCTCAGAAATTTAGCCCTCTAAATCACTGGACATTAATGGACATAGAGGTAATATATTTGGTCTCTGGAAAGTACACCAGGTGCTGGACCTCAAAGCACCATCTGTCAATAGACAAGCGTTGACTTTACCACTTTTCCCAAATGTATTCAGACCAATGTAAATGATGTAAAAAAAAAATTCCAGCCTTGGAAATAGCCACTTCCTAACTGGCCCAGAATAAGTAACTTTTTAAACAGGATAAATAGAAAAGACTGGTCTTATTCATTTTAGTTCCAATATACATTAAAGCAAGGGGGACAGGCAAATAAGTTAGTCTAGTCTGGTGGTTTCTGAATGTAAAAAAATCCATGCAATCCTAACAGTCTTTAAATAAGTACTTAGATACTGCATCAAGCAGACTCTGCTTATACAATCTGCATCAAACCTAAAATGTGAACTTCAATGTGGTCCCAACTCTAAGGGTAAGCTACAGATCAGTTACAGAACTTCATTGATCAAGGGAGTTCCCTCATGGAAGTAGCCTACCCTGATGAAACAATACTATGATCACAACAAAATTTAAACTAGTAAGAAAAGTCAAAATGTAGTCAAAATGCTTCACTCAAACATTTATCATATACCTAGTATGTGCAATACACAAGACAGTAAGGGAAAAACAAAGATGAATAACACAGGGTACCCTCTTGAAGTTGACAGTCTAACACTGGAGAAAGACACCTCTTTACCAAACAAATGTTGCTGTCTTTTTTATAACACGTTTCACTTTTCTTTTTTTTAATTAAGTGCAATGGAAAGAGTACTAATTTTGGAGTTGAACGATCTAGATTTAAATTCTAGTTGTCAGTTACTACCTGTAGGACCTGGAACAAGTCATTTATCCTCTTTGTACTTTAAAATAAGGGATCGGCCTAGATGACTATGGTCCCTTCCAGCTACAGATCTCATGTCCCCTGTGATCCAAACCAGGTAACATTTCCAAGTAGCCAATCGAATTGGACAAGTATTTATTCAGTGACTCCTACGTGCAAGGCACCGGGCAAAGTGATCAGAATATGAAATCAAAAACAAAAAACAGTCCCTGACCTCAAGCTGACATTTAATGGAAGGCTCCAACATGTAAAGAGATGAATGAATGATATGCAAAAAGGAGATAACATCAACATTCAGAGGATAAGAAAAGGCTTCTTATAGGAGATGGCACATGAGCTGAACCTTGAAAGAAGCCAAATATTCCAAGAGGTAGAAGGAGGGAAAGAATTCCAGGAATGGGAAATAGCTTCTGCAAAGGTAGAGAGAGAGTGTGCAGTTCAGGGAATAATTGAGGTCAGTAGTTTGGTTGGAATATAGATTGCACAAAGGAGAATCCTTTGCACTAAATCTGGAGAGATGGTCTAGAGCCTGAGTGTGAGGGGCTTTATATGCCAACATGAGGAACCTGTTTTCTCCAAATGAAGGTGCTCGAGCAGAAGAGAAGCATGAGCTTATGCTTTAGCACGATTATTTTGGCAGTGATGAGCAACGGAGAGGGGAAAGACTTGAGCCAGAGACCAATTACCTATGCATTCATTTAACATGTATTTATTCAGCAACTAATATAAGCCAGGCATTGCTAGGGGAAAAAAATCCAACTGTTCATGCCCTTAAGGAGCTTACATTCTATCCCAGAAACAATATGGCCCATATAGACATAGATATAAAATACAGAAATACAAGAATGTTGGGGGTGGGAGAAGACACTAGCACAGCTGGTGGAATCAGTCAAGGTCTTATGTAAAAGGGGATGCTTGAGCTGAGCTTTGAATGAAATTAGGGATTCTAAAAGGGAAAAGCAAGGAGGAAGTATATTCCAGATATGGAAGACAGACAACAAAGGCAGAGAAGAAGCAGAAAATTGATAAGAGTATCTTGTGTGAAGAATAGTAAGAAGGTAAATCTGGCTAGACCAAAGAATGTGTGAAGGAGGGTAATGCGTAATCAAGCTGGAACCAGGTTGGGAAGGGCCTTAAATACCAAGTGAAAGACTTTCCATTTTGACTCTAGAGGTGATTGGAAGTCACTGGAATTTACTGAGTATGGGAATGGGATAGTCAGACCTGAGCTTAAGAAAAATGAGTAGCATCTAGGACTTAAGAAGCCATATTGAGTCCCTGCCCTTTCAAGAAAGTTACATTCTTTTTAAAAAATTATTAATTAATTTATTTTAGTATTCATATTCACTTCCATAAGATTTTGAATTTTAAATTTTCTCCTCCTCCCTCTGCTCCCCCCTCCCCAAGACAGCATGAAATCTGATATAGGCTCTACTTATACATTCATATTAAGCATATTTTCCCATTACTCATGATGTAAAGAAGAATTAGAACTAATAGGAGGAACCACTAGAAAGAAGAAACAAAACAACAAAAGAAAAGGAGAGCAGATAGCATGCTTCCATCTGCATTCAGACTCCATAGTTCTTTCTCTGGATATGGACAGAATTTTCCATCATGAGTCTTTTTTCTTTTTGGACTAGGCAATGGGGTTAAGTGACTTGCCCAGGGTCACACAGCTAGTAAGTGTTATGTGTCTGAGGCAGGATTTGAACTCGGATCTTCCTGAATCCAGGGCCGATGCTCTATCCACTGCGCCACCTAGCTGCCCCCATCATGAGTCTTTTGGAGATGTTTTAGATCCTTGCATTGCTGAGAAGAGCTAAGTCTATTAAAGTCATTTATCACACAATGTGGCTGTTACTGTGTACAGTGTTCTCCTGGTTCTGCTCATTTCTCTCAGCATCAGTTCATATAAGTCTTTCCAGGTTTTTCTGAAGTCTGCCTGCCCATCATTTCTTTTGTTTGTTTTTTTTTAAGCAATTGGGGTTAAGTGACTTGCCCAGGATCACATAGCTAGTAAGTGACAAGTGTGTGGTCTGAGGCTGGATTTGAACTCAGGTCCTTCTGACTTCAGGGCCAGTGCTCTATTCACTGCACCACCTAGCTACCCCTCATCATTTCTTATAGCACAATAATATTCCATTACATTTATATACCACAACTTGCTCAGCTATTCCCCAATTGATGGGCATCCCCTCAATTGCCAATTCTTTGCCATCACAAAAAGAGCTACTATAAATATTTTTGTATACGTGGGTCCTTTTCCTATTTTTATGATCTCTTTGGGATACAGACCCACAAGTGGTATTACTGGGTTAAAGGGTATGCACAATTTTATAGACCTTTGGGCATAGTTCCAAATTGCTCTTTAGAATGGTTAGATCAGTTCACAATTCCACCAGCAATGCATTACTGTCCCAATTTTCCCACATCTTCTCCAACATTTATCATTTTCCTGTTTTGTCATGTTAGCCAATCTGGTAGGTGTGATGTGGTACCACAGAGTCATTTTGATTTGCATTTCTCTAATCAACAATGATTTAGAGCATTTTTTCATATACCTATAGATAGCTCTAATTTCTTCCTCTGAAAACTGCATATTCATATCCTTTGACCATTTATCAATTGAAGAATGACTTGTAGTCTTACAAATTCGACTCAGTTCTCTATATATTTTAGAAATGAGGTCTTTATCAGAGACATTGGTTGTAAAAATTGTTTCTCAGTTTCCTGCTTCCCTTCTGATCTTGGTTGCAATGGCTTTGTGCAAAAACTTTTCAATTTAATGTAATCAAAGTCATCCATTTTGCATTTCATAATGATCTCTATCTCTTGTTTGGTCATAAATTCTCCATAGATCTGATAGGTACACTATTCCTTGCTCACCTAGTTTGCTTATAGTATCAGTCTTTATATCTAAATCATGTACCCATTTTGACTTTGTCTTGGTATAAAGTGTAAGATGTTGGTCTATGCCTAGTTTCTGCCATACTATTTTCCAGTTTTCCCAGGAGTTTTTGTTAAATAGTGAAGAAGCTTACATTCTAATGGAGGAGAAAACATATACATAAGTAGGTACAGTACAGAGTAGGTGGAAAGTAGTCTTAAAGGACGAAGCATTAACAATAGAAGGGACCAGGAAAGCCCTTCTGCACAAAGTGGGACTTGAGTTGAATTTTTTTTTTTTTAGTGAGACAACTGGAGTTAAGCGACTTGCCCAGAGTCAAACAGACTTGAGCTGAATCTTGAAGGAAAGCATTCCAGGTATGGGGTACAGCGAGTACAAAGGTACAGAAATGGGAGATAATAATAATAATAATAATAGCTAGCAGTGACATCACACTTTAAGGTTTACAAAGTGCTTTACAAATATTACTTCATTTCATTCTTATAACTCTGGGAAGCAGATGTTCTTCATTATCCTGCATTTTTAGATAAGGATGAGGAAACTGAGGCAGACAGGTTAAGTGGTTTGCCCAGGGTCACACAGCTAGTGTCTGGAGGGTCAGATGAACTTGGGTCTTCCGGACACCTAGCTGCTAATAGAGTGTCAGGTGTGAATAGCAGCAAATAGGCAAGTGCAGCTGGATCGTGCCAGGAGTGAAGAGGAATAAAATGTAAGAAATCTGGAAATATCAGAAGGGACTAGGATGGGGCAGCTAGGTGGTGCAGTGGATAGAGCACTGGCCCTGAAGTCAGGAGGACCTGAGTTCAAATCCAGCCTCAGACCAAACACTTGACACTTACTAGCTGTGTGACCCTGGGCAAGTCACTTTAACCCCAATTGTCTAAAAAACAAAACAAAACAAAACAAAAAACAAAGAAAGGATTACTAGGATGTAAAGAGCTTTAAATGCCAGAGGATTTATATTTGATCTTGGAAGTAACGGGGAGTCACTGGAGCTTATTAAGGGGCAGGGGGTTAAGAGGAAGGGAGGGATTTTTGAAAAATCACCTTGGCA